AACTATATTATAGAGAGATAGAAATAAAAACTATTATAGAGAGATAGAATAAAAACTATATTATAGAGAGATAGAATAAAAACTATATTATAGAGAGATAGAATAAAAACTATATTATAGAGAGATAGAATAAAAACTATATTATAGAGAGATAGAATAAAAACAATATTATAGAGAGATGAATAAAAACTATATTATAGAGAGAGAAAAATTTTAAAAGAATTTACAAATTATCAGCAAGACGAGATCTGTTTTGTGGAAAAAAAAACTATATAGAAGATGTAGTGACAATGTACAACTGAAATGAATCAGTAAATGATTGAGATCAGAAAAGTCTCAAATTCCCAAGGTCTTAGAGATAAGAAAAGTCTCAAATTGCCAAGGTCTTAGAGATAAGGTTTAGAAAGGTCACATGTTTATGTTCTCCCAGTTATCGTTGCCATCTTACAATATCTTTTTCTTTTTGATAAACATGACTTATTTTTATTTGGATTTTTTCTAAACTATTTTGTAAAATGTAAAATAAAATAACACCCTTTTTAATTAGCTCTTAATGCACCTTACACCTGGAAACCTGGTAAATGAAACTTCTTGTTTAATCATCCCTCCATGTCTAGTACATCAATATAAAACCATTTTATTCACAAAGTATCAAGAACTAACCTGGGTGGGATAACTAACATGATACTTTCTAAATAGGTTGTCTGGAAGATGTGTGAATGAATGAATGAATGAATGAATGAATGAGATAATAATAGAGAGCAGAGAGACAGATATCTTAAGGGTATTGTGTACTGTTCTGTGGAGGGAAGTTATTTAGGAATGTTTATAATTCTAGTAATTTTCAGAACAGTTTGGTATTTCTGAGCTAGGAAAAATTTACTATTCAAAGAAAAATTGGTTAATGTCAAATTTAGAGTCAGATTAAATGTATAACTGTTCCAGTAGATTTTAAAGTCAATATTAATGAATTTATTCAATTTTTGTTTTGTGTTTAGCTTTCATAATTTTTTTTTTTTAATTTTCATAACTTTTTCTTCAGACCAGTTATTTATAGGTTTTTATTTTAGTATAGATGCTGTATTATGAACATCGTTCTGAAGGGCATGACTCTGACCTTGACATCCTTGATCAACCTTCAGGGTCTCCTCTTTGAATATGACCTTAAAAATCATCCCATAGTGCCATATCTATTTACATACACTTCATGGTAAATTCTATAAAACCTGGTTAAGTCAAATGGTCCACTCCATGATGACAACCTGAACAAATTAAAAACCAGTGGCATTTGCCTTACTTGTTTCTTTTTATTGACATAATTGGTTATCGAGTACAATAATTACGACGGAGGAGCCAAAATTGTGTAAACATACAACACAACTGACTTAAAAATTCACACACTAAAAATTCACACACAAAAAATTCACACACAAAAAATTCACACACTAAAAATTCACACACAACGAATTCACACACAAAAAATTCACACACAAAAAAATCACACAAGCAAAGAAATATGACAGTCACCAACAAAAAAAGTTCTTGGAGTTGACAGTACAGTAAAGTAAAACATAAAGACATATACACTGGTAAAAAATCATTTTTCCCTACAGTTGGCGCAGTAGATACCTCTGCTTTATCTGACTGCATGACGTCCATTCTTGTTTTATTTTAGAACTTACAATTGTCCAGTGAAGGTTATAGTTGTAGAGGTGTTTAGATCTCTTGTAAGTACAAGTTTCAGTACTTCTCTGTCACTAGTAATACTGAGAATAAAAGTCACTACAACTGAGCTTTTCCTGCATACGATTGGTTTCCTCACATTACTTGGTATTTTATGCAAAAGTCTATACTTTTTTAATATTTTGGTCAGTAGTTTTTTCCCTGAAAGCTGAAAGTAACATTTCATTGAGATATTTTATTGGGACTGATTCAAACACAAAACATTGCAGATTTGTGATAAAAAATAACATAAAATTCGTTTTTATTATTTCATGTTTGTTAATTAATATCAAAAGTAACCTGCAATATATTTAATTTTAATTTGAAGTAATGTGTTGGAAAGATGGTCTCTGATAATTTGGTGGTGACAAACATTCTACTTTTATATAAAAAAAAAAAAAAAAAAAATATATAAAAAAAAAAAAAAAAAAAATACACTGTAATAAATATGTATAATTATTAATAGTTTTTTTTCAGGTATTTTAATCCTTTCTTCAGTTTAATTTCAGAATGTTTCTGATAGACTGGATAGTGGTTGAGAAACACATAACATCATCAGGATTTTGATGAAATCGTGATGAAGTAATGGATACATTATTTTCATGGGAAGGCGGAATTGAATTATATCGTGATGAAGTAATGGATACATTATTTTCATGGGAAGGCGGAATTGAATTATATCGTGATGAAGTAATGGATACATTATTTTCATGGGAAGGCGGAATTGAATTATATCGTGATGAAGTAATGGATACATTATTTTCATGGGAACTTTCCTTTAAAATATTTTGAATAAAAACATCAAAATTTATTAAATTGTAAACAAAATCACCAAAATTTTATTAATTTTAACAATAAAAACAAAATTTGTTAGATTTCAAACAAAATTTGGCAATTTTTAATTTTTTTTTAATTAAATTTCAAACAAATCACTAAAATTTATTAAAGAAGCATTAAAATATATCCATGTAATTGTTGATAAAGAGTAAAAATGCTTTTTTAAAGACATAACTAAGTAATTATCTTTTTCTGAATTAAAATGAATAACTGTTCATTTTTTCCAATTTTGAATAAATAACCATTCCATTTCCTAAATTTAGATATCAAAATTTAGCTCACAATAACTAAATTAGTTTGAAAATTTTAATTTTCAGTGTTTCACTGAGATTTGGACTTCCAACAACTTGAATTTAACAATACTGCATTATTAAAGGGTATGATTGCAACATGAATACATTACTTACTTTTTTTTAAAATGTTTAAAAATTGAACACTAGCAAGTCAGTAGAACATTACCTATAAACTAGACATGAAACCCAATCACCATACCCAATCACCATACCCAATCACTATACCCCATCACGATACCTAATCACAATACCCAATCACGATACCCAATCACGATACCCAATCACAATACCCAAGCACGTTCACTTAGCATGACACCCACAACCATTAACACTGTATGAATAGAATAAAAGGTAAAGTTTATACTGGCTTGCTGATGTTTTCTTCTTCGTTTTCTTTAGTTATCCCCTCGCCCCACATAGCAACAGCTTTATATATAGTTGACCTGGGACTGAGCTTTGGAGCAGGTTGGGTGGAATGAGGCAACGTCCAGGAACTGGAATTTAAGAGCTCAGAGGTCTTGAAGGAGAAGCCTAGGGGTCTGATGAAAGGGAGAGTGAGACTCCAGGCACTTGTATTTAAGGGCAAGGGGGTAGGGGATAGTTAACCCAAAACAAGTCCAGGGACTTATTTTTAAGGGCATGGGGGTCAGGGAGGGTTATCCCATGGGTCCAGGGAATTGTTTTTAAGGGCTTGGGGGTCAGGGAGGGTTACCCTATGGGAGTCCAGGGACTTGTTTTTATGGGATTGGGGGTCAGGGAGGATTACCCCATGGGAGTCCAGGATCTTGTTTTTAAGGGATGGGGGTCGGGGAGGGTTACCCCATGGGAGTCCAGGGACTTGTTTTTAAGGGATTGGGGGTCAGGGAGGGTTACCCCATGGGAGTCCAGGACTTGTTTTTAAGGGATGGGGGTTGGGAAGGGTTACCCCATGGGAGTCCAGGGACTTGTTTTAAGGGATTGGGGGTCGGGGAGGGTTACCCCATGGGAGTCCAGGGACTTTTTTTTAAGGGTTATGGGTCGGAGAGGGTTACCCCATGGGAGTCCAGGGACTTGTTTTTAGGGTTTTGGGGTCAGGGAGGGTTACCCCATGGGAATCCAGGGACTTGTTTTTAAGGGCTTGGGGTCGGGGAGGGTTAACCTATGAAAGTCCAGTGTATTTAAGGGCTTGGAGGTTGGGGAGGGCTACCCCATGGCCTAGTGTAATAGAGATGAAGAAGTTGCTGGGTAAGGAGGGGAAGTAAGTAATGTGTTGGTGTTGTAATTTCACACTGTTCTGATACTGTTTAGTTGCTTTAAAGTTTGTGAAGTTCAAATAACCCTGTACTTTTGGATGAAATGCATTATAAATTTCAAAATAATGAACACTTCCCTTTTCTGAATTTAAATAAATAACACTTTCTGTTCTGGATTTTAAATAAATAACACTTTCTTTTCTGAATTTAAATAAATAACACTTTCTTTTCTGGATTAAAATAAATAACACTTTCTTTTCTGAATTTAAATATAAATATCACTTTCTTTTCTGGATTTTAAATAAATAATTCCTTTTATAGTTTTTAGATAAATAACCATTCCTTTTTCTAAATTTGAATAAATAAACCTTCCTTTTTCAAAATTTAAATAAGTAATCCTTTCCTTTTTTAAAATTATAAATAAATAAACCTTTGTTTTTATTAAATTTGAATAAATAACCATTTCTTTTTTTAAATTTGAATAAATAACCATTTCTTTTTCTAAATTTAAATAAATAACCTTCTTTTTTCTAAATTTGAAATAATGACCCCTTTTTTTTTGTGTGCTGGTGGTGTTACCACAGGTTTGTGTATGCGTCTAGTGTGGTTGGGAGTCATAGACTCTTACACTGCCGCTGGATAGCTTATATTCATAGGTGAAAAGAAAGCTGAGTGCGTAAGTCTTTCCTTCCAGTACATAGCCTCTACACTAACAAGACTTCTACAGTGCCTCCCCGTGACAGCACATGGTAACTAGGATCTAGTGTCCTAGGCTTAACTGTAGAGGATCTCGGAGTAGCAAGGACCCTAGAGATGAAGTGTGTAGGCCGATCAACGTGCGGACATCCCTAGCACTCATCAACCTTGCCCCAGTTATGGGTTAAATAGCCGGCTGAATGATGGTTATCAGCCTTGAAAGGATGTCTAGGAGAAGAAAACTCTGATATGAAATTTTTGGTAGATTTGACTCGTCAGCCTTGGTCTGCAATTGATCTAAAGGAAAAAAAGCTTGAGTAAAGATTCTCTGGTTCTCCAGGTTTGGGATTGAGAGATATGCCAACAACCTATCCTTGTAAAAAGGAAGAATGATTATATACCAATTAATCTCCCAGATGAGGAACATCACAACCGGGTCTGCATGAAGCTTTAACATTCAAAAGACAAGGTAAATATGCATAAGGTACATATAGTAGATGTCTAGTCATTTCATTTGAGTAGTTATGATTTTGATGTATAAATTCACGTCTGGATATAGTATTCCATAAGTCCACAAGATAATTAACATGGAGCACCAAAAATATTCATTGATATTCTGTTTTAGTGTAGAAAAGGGATAAATTTCTAAGGGAGCAATCTGACACTAACCAGAAAACCAGATTGAGTAAGGGGTCATCCATAATTGTCAACCATTTTCCAAAGTGTACAAAACATACACTTGGGGGGAGGGGGTTAAAAAATCAACATTTTTAAAGTATGCTTTTTTTTATTTATCAAATAAAACAGTCCGATATGTTTCAGTTATTTTCAATGCAAATTTCTATATTAAACTAAACTATAATAGACAGGATCTTAATTTTTTTTAAGAATGATTGAATCTTGTCTTGAAATCTGAAAATGGTTGATGTACACTTTTTAAGGGAGGGTAGGGGGTCTGAAAAAGTGTATGTTTTGTACACTTTGGAAAATGGTTGACAATTATGGATGACCCCTAATATCAACCCAACAAAATGGAGAATTTTAACAATGGTGCTCCTGAAAGAATAGGAAGGGTACACAGTTCCTGCTCCACAAGTCACAATTAACAGTTATGACCAAAATATGTATTACAAATAAGAATTCATAGGTTGAAAAAAAATCATGCATAAACTAAAAATAAAAAACTAAAAATTCACGAGAATTAGCCTAGTAAATTAAGAAGTATTATTATGCCATGTTAATTGGCACTCATACCACATCTTCTTATATCTATGTATATTTATTAGATAAAATGTTATGTATTAGTAAGTTATAAGTTATTATTTATTATAGTGACATGTGTATCATAACATACATCTAAACAATTACATGTATATACATAGCAATTTGATATTTACACCTGGCCCATTGGACCTATATGTCACTTTAGCAATATTGTATCTAATTTATCTGTATTAACTGCTATGATTAGATGTTGATTAATTGACTAAATTCCATATACATGTATAGATATCGAAATAAGATGTGGTATAGTTGCCAATGAGACAACTGACTCCACCAGAGACTAAAAGATATACAAGTTAACAACTATTGGTCAACATACAGGCCTTCAATAAGTGTTTAAAACTATCACAGTTGATGGATTAAATTTTTTTTCAGTTATCCTGGATATTTTGAAAACACGTAAATGGTTTACTGAAGGAAAATCGAAGGAAAGTAGGACCTGGATGTAAAATAATACCAACTTTAAGGTATGTATGTTGACGGTAACATTAAATCCTTGTTTCAAGGTAACATTAAAGATAATGAACGGTTCTAGTTTATTGCTTCTATAATAATACAATACCCAATTACAGATATAAAAATATGAAGATGTGGTATGATTGCAATTTTGAAAACTCTCCACAGGAAACCAAATGACATATAAATTAACAGCTATAGGTCACAATTCTGCCTTCAAAAATGATTAAAATCCATACCACATAGTTTGCTATAAATGGGCCAAAAAATGAAAATTGTAAAAAAATTCAATCGAGAAAACAAACTGCCTAATTCATGTCCAAAATAATGAACAAAACAAATATGTAACACAGCAACAAACATTACCACAGCAACAAACATTACCACAGCAACAAACATTAACCACTGAATTGAAGGCACATACAGAGTGTGGCAGGGTTAAACTAGTTTGAAGGCATATATTGTCCTTATCCATCAAATCTTTGGTTAAATGAAAATTTTTAATCCATGGTGCCTGAAAAAATTGACATGTTTATTTTAAACAAATCTGAAGTAAAATGTAAGTACAATGGTGGCATTTCATACTTAAGATGCCATAAGATTTAATACAGTTCTGAACTGCTTTATATGAAGAATTTCTTTAGCCTCTGTCTCCTGGTTACCCCATATATGGATAAAATGTAAATATCTACTGACATCAACATTATATATATTATTTTGTGAATTTTAGTTTGTTTTGAATGAAATTTTATTTTCTATTTGTAGACAAAGCGTGCTTGTTAATTTAGAAATCAACTGAAGCAGAAGAATGGATTCTGTTGATCTGAGGAACTTGGAAACACTTATTGACAAGAAAAATATGTAGTAATACAATTATGTTTAAAGAGAGAGATAGAAAGAGGGGGGAGAGCCAGTTGTAAAGATTTATTCTTTTAAACCAGATATGTTGATTACATTCGAATTTCATAGGCCTACAGTTCCCCCCTAAATGGTCTTAGTTAATACATGTACTAGGTGTTTAATGTAAGACTTTGATGTGACTTGTGAGAACAATCAGCTGCCATTGGTTTAAATCTATTTTTATGCCCTTTCAGTTTGGGGGGGGGGGGGGGGGCATATTGTTTTACTCCTGCCCTTACGCTCTACCATCCTATTATAGGTATATAGATATAAGAAGATGTCAAATTGGTGACAATGAGACAACTCTCCATCCAATTCACAGCTATTCCAGATAACTACTCCTAGAGTTTAATGAGTTATCTCCCATATTTGTAGGTACTTTTTGTCTCGCCTTGACGGAGTCAAAAAGCAAGACATAGGTATGCTGTTTCCGGCGTCGGCGGCGATGGCGTCAACAATGTATTAGTTTGTGATTAGGTCTAGTTTATGGTGAACCACAAGTGGTATGTCAATCATATTTGGTATGCAGTTGTATAAGCATTGGCACATCTAATTTCCATCGAGATTATTTGGCCCTGCCCCCTAAGTCATGGTCTATTGACTTCGAAACTTTTGCTTATTTTACACGTATTAGTTTGTGATTAGGTCAGTTTATGGGGAACAACAAGTGGTAGGTCAATGATATTTGGTATGCAGTTGTTTAAGCATTGTCATATCTTATTTCCATGGAGATAATTTGGCTCCGCCCCCTTAGTCATGGTCTATTGACTTTGAAAATTTTTCTTAGTTATCATGTATTAGTTTGTGATTAGGTCAGTTCAAGGGGAACGATTAGTGGTAGGCCAATGTTAATTGGTAATCAGCTGTATAAGCATTGGCACATCTCATTTCCATGGAGAATTTTTTGGCCTCATCCCTCAGTCACAGTCTAATGACTTTGAAACTTATCTTAGTTTACATGTATTAGTTTGTGATTAGATCAGTTTAAGATGAACTGCTAATGTTAAGTCAATGATATTTGGTATGCAAATTTATTGGCATTTGCAAGTATAATGTTTCCATGGAGATTATATAGCCCCAACCCCTCTTCATGGTTCATTGACTTTGAAACTTTTACATAGTTTACAAGTTAATTTGTATTTAGGTTTGGGAACGACTTATAATAAGTCAATGGTATTTGGTATGCAGTTGTATTAGCATTGGCACATCTCATTTACATGGAGATTGTTTAGCCATGTAACTCAGTCATGGTTCATTGACTTTGAATATTTGCATAACTTGTGTAAGATGTTAAAGTATTGCTATTTTGATTTCAACATTTGCATAATCAAAATTACAAAAAGGCGAGACATATCTCTGTGATAACAGTTTATGATATTTTGATATTTCCTGATAAGGCTAATGCAAATAGAAGATTTAACTTGTTTTTAAATTTAACAAACTGAGCATAAGTTGTGAGGAATGAAAACTAGCAGGCTGAGTTTTAGGGTTAAGGGGAGGAAATACACTTGTTTATCTCTTCATATGAGCTAGTTTTGTTCACTGCATGGAAGGCCTGCAATAAATTAGAATGTATTAGTTTTATATATAATTGTTATATATTTTTTGTTAGATATGCTATATAAGATGTAAATAAAGTAAGATGACAGTATTATTTAGAGCTCTGTAAATAAAATCGGCTTGTAAACAGGTCTAGATAATGCATTAAGTGGATTGGTCTGACATTGGGATTTCAAATTATATTTACGTCGTCATCATCTACAAAAGTGCTTCCATTCTCAATATTATCTGATATTAAACGCCCCTTCCTCCCAATTATGACTTCATTTTAAGTTTAATGAGTTATCTCCCATATTTGTAGGTACTTTTGGTAACAGTATATCATGATAAGGCTAATGCAAATAGGAGACAACTCTTGTTTTTTGTAGAAAAGAAGATTTAACTTGTTTTTAAATTTAATGGTAAATCCTGTGACTTCGTAAATTTTTTCTTAGCTTTAAAATAATATTTAAAACCCTGTCCATGAAATTGAACATTGCTCCTCTTGATTTAAGTAAGTGAATTCTTTTGCAATAGTTTAAATGAAATGTCAAATAGTATTTCATAATGCATTAGAAGGAATGGTATATTTTATAGAATGCTAGTATTGTTTTACTTGTATGTTTAGTGGTCACTAAAAATGTAATATATTATTATTTGTTTTCCTATTTACTATTATCAAGTGGAGTAACATCACCTAATTTCCCTGTTTGCTAGTTCATAACAATTGTAAAGTTAACATCACCTAATTTCCCTGTTTGCTAGTTCATAACGATTGTAAGGTTGAAATTTCTGTAACAATTAAACACCTATGATTCTTCCCTACAATGTATGAGTTTTTTTAAAGCAGGGTGTATTTTTTTTCAATATTGCCATATTCTTATGTCTTAAGTAGCAGTATTATATAAGGTGATTGCTACATAAATCATTTCTCATTTTAATAAATAACATTTATTTGAACTTTTTTATGTTTCTTTAAAATATTATTAAAATAATATTTTGTTCAGCTTTTTAGAAATAATCTTGTTTCAGTTATTTTGTGAGGAAGAGTTTTGAGTTTAAATCCCTGGCTGGGTCAGAAAACACAAGACTAAAAGCTGGTATTTGCTTGTAATAATATTTCAGGTTATATTTATCCCTTCAGAATAATATTTTAGGGTATAGTGATTCTATAGATATAAGAAGATGTGGTATGAGTGCCAATGAGACAACTCTCCATCTGCTGAATTATGTTTTGGGGTATGGTGATTCCTGTCGATTTTGAGGTTCACTTTTAATTCAATGGTAATCATTTCGAATTGTTTTTTTTCGCTTGTTTTTTTTACATATATCAGGCCATAATGGTTTCTGCATTTGAAATTGTATCATGTTTTGTTATATTGGCACCTCTTACAACTTGCTTACAGTGACCTATAGTTTTTAACACCTACATCATGAAATAAGTTCCTACTAATTTGTACTACTAGTATATAGTAATAACACTGTCTGTCATCTGACATTTGTGGTAAACCTCGGATCAAGAATATCAGGACCTGTTATGTTTTATGCACAGTATACCTTTAAAATGAAGGTACATTGTCATTAGACAATAATCAACATTTGATAGTTATTTCAAAGCTATGTGGAGGTATCTGACTAGCATTTGTATGACATAAATGTGACATTTTTCATGCAAAGACTTGCAAGGCAAAAAGAATAAGATACCATTAGTTATTATCGTTTATTGGGAAAGACTGTACTTTGACATTTTCATAGCTTTTTTTTTGGTTTTACTCTATAATTGTTGAGTTACTGTCACATTGTATTTACCCAAAACGTGACATCTTCTTGGAGCCTTTTGAAAACCTTCAAGGAAACCAACTAAAACTGGACTACTTAGTACATTTGAACTTGTATAAAAAAAATATTTCACTTCTTGCCACAGGAAACTTGGATGCAATGTTTTTATCTTATTATTGTGGTAGGTTTTTCATTAGTTATTTTATAAACATAATATAACTTATCATACTTGATTACATGTATGGGAAGTTAAGTCGCCATCTGTGTTTAGGGTTCACAGATACTATACCTCCCATTTAGGTATAGTAACGTCCCCGCCATACATATCAAGTATCTGCTAGTACTGGTATGAACTGAGGGAGATAGATCACTCAGTTGGACCCTGACCGTCAGACCAAGGGTGACTTGGTCAGACTGCGACCAAGTTGTGGTCTAAACCTTTTCCATAGTACCATGCATGAACTGAGTGAGATCGATCACTCAGTTGGACCGTGACCAAGGGTGACTTGGTCAGACTGCGACCGAGTCACGGTCTTAAGTACCATACATATCAAGTATCCGCAAGTACTGGTATGAGACCGAGTGGCATGACTTGGTCAGACTGTGTACCATGTATCCGCTTTACTGGTACAAGTTTGGCAGAGCCCCATGGCTATGTCAATATTTTTTTATCCAAATTTTAATTGGGGATGTTTTTAATTTTTATCCAAATTTTAATTGGGGAAGTTTTTATCTTTTTATCCATATTTTAATTAGGGATGTTTTTATCTTTTAATCCAATTTTTATTGGGGATGTTTTTATCTTTTATTCAAATTTTTATTGGGGATGTTTTTATCTTTTTATCCATATTTTAATTTGGGATGTTTTTAACTTTTTATCCAAATTTTAATTGGGGATGATTTTATCTTTTATTCAAATTTTAATTGGGGATGTTTTTGTCTTTTATTCAAATTTTAATTGGGGATGTTTTTAACTTTTTATCCAAATTTTAATTGGGGATGTTTTTATGTTTTATTCAAATTTGAATTGGGGATGTTTTAAATTTTTATCCATATTTTAATTGGGGATGCTTTAAATTTTTATCCATATTTTAATTGGGGATGTTTTAAATTTTTATCCATATTTTAATTGGGGGTGTTTTTAACTTTTTATCCAAATTTTAATTTGGGATGTTTTTAACTTTTTATCCAAATTTTGATTGGGGATGTTTTTATCTTTTATTCAAATTTTAATTGGGGATGTTTTCATCTTTTATTCAAATTTTAATTGGGGATGTTTTTAACTTTTTATCCAAATTTTAATTGGGGATGTTTTTATGTTTTATTCAAATTTTAATTGGGGATGTTTTAAATTTTTATCCATATTTTAATTGGGGGTGTTTTTAACTTTTTATCTAAATTTTAATTGGGGATGGGTTTTTTAATTTGTTAAATGGGTCAGGTTTTTTCATATTGGCTGTATAAGTCATGCTTTAGTCGAATCAGAGACTCTAAAATTGGTACTCCGAAAGGAAGAGACTGGTGGTCACTGCGGCCATTTGTTTCGGTGAACTAGCACCTTAAAGTCCAGGTAACCCTCAGGCCAGCTGGCTAGTACATTAGCAGACAGGTACTTTTGTACCATTTGGCATTTTTAAAACTTTTGGCAATTTTTACTTTAGACTATTTTTTTTTTAATTTTTTTTTTTTAATTTTTTAAATATTTTTTAAATATTTTTTAAATATTTTTTACACCTTTCAATTAAATATATATTTTGGCTGCAAAATGGTTATCCAAGGATAATTTCTTCAAATAAAATTTACATCACACATTTTGGCTTATTGTAACTTTGGCTGTTACCTTAATTTTAAAAATAATGATAACCATTTAATATTGAAATAAAAACTACAACTCCAAATTAGCTCAATATTAAAAAAAAAACATAAAAAATTTAGATCTTCTTTTCAGTATTGAAATTTTTCATTCTTCCATGCCTGGTACTTCATGATTAAAATCTTTTCATCAACTAACACTTTCATGGGGATATTTAACACACAGAGTAGGCTAATATAGGTGGTTAAGGTTGATATGGATAAGAGAGAAATGGAGGGAGGATGAGGGTAAATAATGAGAGTGGTATGTATGGATATATGTTCTATAGGGAGAAAAAGGAAAAATTGAGTAGATGAGGGTAATATTGAGAGTTGTATGTAAAGTAGTTAGGGAGAGAATGTTAATTTCTTTATAAGGGCTTGATGTACTGGTCTAATGGAAGTGCAGTTTTCTTTTTTCTCTTGTGTAGTTCTTATTTTCTTCAAAAATCTGGAGTAAACATTTTAACTTCTAAAAGTACTGCTGTCAAAAATTAACAAGTTAACAGCCTTTTTTGTTACTGATTATGTGCTGCTTATATATAAACATTGTAGCACTTCTCAGTGACTTGATAGGGTTGCAGCTTTTCTTCAATTTTAACAGCATTATCTTACAGTTATAGATGCAGTGATCAGCACACTTACACTATATTAATGTTTCTTTTATTCTGAGAAAATTTGCTTTCCAGTCTTATATAAATTTCTTGGTCTAATGTTTCTTCTGTATCTTTGCTGTCATGTTTGTAGTTCATTATCATCATATGCGTTTTATCAGTCTTAGAATGCTGAAATTGTGTGTAGGGTGTACTTCACACGCAACATACAAAATGGGTCACTAAGCCATTCTATAATGGCATACATCATTTTATATCCAAGCCTCTTTTAAACTTTTTAAAAACAGCTTTGGTACTCCTGTCAGTGTTTGAAGCACAGCAAAGTGGAACTAGACTCTAAAATTGGTACATACTGGTTCTTACGCTAAGCATGCTGGTGTTTGGAGTCGAAATATTGAGTCTGGGATAGGGTGACACATTTCCATTAGGACTTTCTTGTGAACTTGCATGTTAAAAAAATTCACATCATCTTTTTAGCTGGGCGAGGTGAGCTTTTCTCATCACTTGGCGTCCTTCCTTTAATTTTACTAAAATCATCTCTGTAACAACTGAGCAAAAGTTAACCAAATTTGGTCATTATTGGGGCATCTTGTTTAAAAAATATGTCTGATGACCCAGCCTACCAAGATGGCTGTCATGGCTAAAAATAGAGCATTGGGATAAACTGAAGATTTTGGCATATATCTCTGTAACCAAAACATTTAGAGCAAATCTGACAATGGGGTAAAAATGTTCATCAGGTCAAGATTTATCTGCCCTAAAATTCAGACAAATCTAAATTGGTAATTTTAATTTTTTTCCCCCCATTTTTGGTTATAACGGCTTGAATATTATTATAGATAGAGATAAATTGTAAACAGCAATAATGTTCAGCAAAGTAAGATCTACAAATAAGTCAACATTACAAAAATTTTCAATTGTCCCTTTATGGAATTTGTGCCCTTTAATGTCAATTTTTAACTTTTTTTTGTAAAATTTTGTAATCTTCTTCTCTGAAACAGATATCACAAATTCGACCAAACTTATCCACAATCATCATTAGGGTATCTAGTTGAAAAAATGTGACCTATGACCTCACCTTCCAACCAAGATGACTGCCATGGCTAAAAATAGTATGTAGGGGTAAAATGCAGTTTTTGACTTATATCTATGAAACTAAAGCAAAATATAACAGTTGCATTATTTCATGCATCAATTTTAAACATAAATCAGGTGAGCGTCACAGGCTCCTCTAGTTTACATATGTAACACTTAGAAATGTGATCTCCAACCCCACCCCAACTTTTCCGATTCCCCCAAATGTGTCAACATGACATCACTGAACTGTAAAACATGTCTTAATGTAAAAGGGCATCATCATGTTTAGTGATGCCTGTAACCTTAAATTGAAAACTTTATCAACAGTTTATCATTTAAAGAGCTTTTAAAAGAGGGACGAAAGATACCAGAGGGACAGTCAAACGCATAGATCAAAATTAAACTGACGACGCCATGCCTAAAAATGAAAAAGACAAACAAGACAAATAATAGTACACATGACACAACATAGAAAACTAACAAGAGTGCACACACTGAAATGTCTCGCCTTCTTTACTAATCATTGATATTATGTTGATAGTCCTAAATATAAAGCTTTATTACAACTGTCACATAAACTTAACATTAACCAAGAAAACTAAACATTGACCAATGAACCATGAAAATGAGGTCAAGGTC